GCACAGCCTTAACCAACATTGAAACATGTCGGTCTGGTTTTATTGAACTCGGGGTCACGGACTATGTAATGCCAATATTGATGTCCAATATTAATGTTTCATATTTAATAAGTAACACTTTATTCTTGAACAGGGGATACTATAGTACTGAACCAAGTACAAATTATGAAGATGGCTTTCCAAATTGGGTATCGCCCAACGATCAAACATTATTGCAGTCATCGTCTAATTTGGGCTCTCAAGCAAATATAGTGGTGGCAAAAGATGGTTCAGGGAATTTCAAGACTGTTACTGAAGCTGTTGTTGCTGCTGCCAAGAGGACAGGAAGTGGAAGGTTTGTGATATATGTAAACGTAGGGATTTATAATGAAAATGTAGAGATAGGGATCAATTTAAAGAATATCATGTTGGTTGGAGATGGCATTGGAAAGACGATCATCACAGGAAGTAAGAGTGTTGGAGGAGGATCTACCACCTTCAAATCAGCCACTGTAGGTAAGTAAAACAAAATATAGTAGGTATATTTTCATATTTTACTATTCTCACTTTTTATGAACATTAATTTTGTAATTATCTTTTAGGTGCATGATGATTCGATAATACAAAAATTTTACACCGTCAGCTTATAGCATTAAACACTGCTCAACTACCTAGCTAGTCACTTCATTCTCCTACTAAATTAAAGAACAAAATTAGGAAAGTAAAAAAACAAAGTACGAATATTTCTCAATTTATGATTTTCATGTTTTCTTTTCAGTCTCTTAAAACCTACAATATGCGTGAATAATTTATATAAATCCTGTCTTTTCTCCAGTTATTAGCTCTAAATACGTCTCTCATCTCTGCTAAATTAGATCCTTATATTTTTCTTGTTAACGCCTTAATTCCAGCTGTTGATGGTGACGGATTTATTGCTCAGGGCATAACATTTAGGAATACTGCTGGACCTAAAAACGGCCAAGCCGTGGCCCTTCGATCTGGTTCAGATCTTTCAGTATTCTACCAATGTAGCTTTGAAGGATATCAAGACACCCTTTGTGCCCACTCTCAGAGACAATTCTACAGAGATTGCGACATTTATGGAACAGTCGATTTCATATTTGGAAATGCAGCAGTTGTGTTACAAAATTGCAACATTTTTGCTAGAAATCCGCCTAGCCGGATCAACACTGTGACTGCACAAGGGAGAAGTGATCCAAACCAAAACACTGGAATTTCAATTCACAATTGTAGAGTCACACCTTCTTCTGATTTAAAGCCTTACCAAAACTCAGTTAAGACATATCTAGGTAGGCCGTGGCAACAATATTCACGTACTGTTATTATGAAAACATTTTTAGATAGTTTGATAGATCCAGCTGGTTGGATGCCGTGGACTGGTACCTTCGCGCTGAAGACGTTGTACTATGGAGAATACTTGAACTCTGGTTCTGGTTCATCAACTGCAAACAGAGTAAATTGGCCTGGTTATCGTGTTATTTACAGTGCAGCTGAGGCATCTAAGTTTACTCCTGCTAATTTCATTGCTGGAAACTCTTGGTTGCCAGCAACCAATGTTCCTTTCAAATCTAATCTTTGAACTTTTTTTTTTTACTAAATCTTTTCCTTTATAGCGCACACAGAAGAAAAAAAAAGTCTTGCTCAAGTTTAGAGTTTGTGCGAATGGTTGATATATAATGTATGTCCTCCTTCCTTAAAATATTGCACTTAATTATTTTTTAAACCAATTAAGAAAGAATATTCTGCTAAATGCGTCACCGGAGCTCTAGATTTTCTATAGCCATGTTCTAATGTAAATTTTGTATTCAAACTTTGAACTAAATACTTACTAAATATATTATAATTAGTATCTATCTATACTATATTAAAAGAATGAAGGCCCTTAGCGAAATGTCGTTCATCTTTTTACCATTTAAAAACACATTTCACACTGGATAAAATAGTAATTTAAATATTTTCCTAATATATGGGAATGAACATTTAATTATTTTTCTAATATCTGGGATATTGAAATCAACTATAATTCTAATTATTAAAATTTTTTATATTTGAATTATGTGGAGAATCTTTATATTTAGGATTCTAAAAGCAATTAAATTATATTTTATATAGATTTCCTTATTTAAAGCCCATTAATATTAAAGTTGTAGTAAACTATAATATTTTCTTATCATTCAAAACTTAGAAATTAAGAACTCATATTTGTACTGCCTTTTCCGTCAGAATAGCACTACTTTAAAGCTATTAAAAATAGGCACACATAAGCTATAAAAACACAAAACTAGAATACTCATTATATTTAGCAAATCTAAAAGGAACATCAAATTATTAATAAAAATTAAAGAACAATAATTGTAATTTTCTTTTTTTCGTCAATTGAATTTTCTCTTGAAATTTTAAATGATATTAGCCAATTTATTTTTGGACAAGTTTGTCTAAGTATTTTTTTTTAACATGTTGTACGTAAAATGTATGACTCAATTTTAAAATTGAGTTTGAAATGTTTGCTTTAGTTTCTTACAACTTTTTTGGGCTATTTTCCCTGTCTTTTATAATATGACATATTTCAGGTATTTAGATTCTTAATATATATTAGCATAGTAAAATCAAGGGTTTAAATTTTTATCATACATTCACAATTTATAATATTAATAAATAAATTAAAAAAAATAATCGAATAGAAAAAAGACTAATTTATCTCATTTATAAAGATCAATAATCTGTTTTAGATTTATGCAATATGAATCGTGGAATAGGTTAAAATATGAGCGTGAGATGAAAGAGTTGTAATCCCCGATCTATCATTTTGAAAGTGCAAATACTTTTCTTTTGTACTAATGTAAAAAATTTTGCATTACCAAATTTAGTTTTTAATATCTAATGCCACTGAAGGGAAATTTGGAATATTACGTAGATGTTATTAGATTTTATCATGTGAAATTTATCTCGTTATAAGAAATAAAAATAAAAGAGGTGGCATAATTCTCATATCGCAATAGAAGTTTGTGTTATAAGGAGAAGTTCGGAGTGAAGTTTTTGAAATTATCCCAAATTGTACTTATAGATGATGAGTTAATATTAAGTTTTAAATTAATGAAAAAATTATTTTCTTTAATGTTTAAAATAAATAATTAAATTGGTTAAGTAGCAAAAGAATGCAATTCAATTTTTTCCCCCAAAGTTATCATATAAGTAAAAGTTATTTTCAAATGGAAAAAACTCCTAGCATTCATATATTTGTTCCATTAGAAGTGCATTAACGGTGAAAGAATAAGAAATATAGTAAAATCAGTTTACTGTGTAATATTAAGAATCAAATCGATAAAAATGCAAACTTGAAACAATAAGAATGAAACAGTAGAAGACAAATTATATTCTATATGATTGTCATTAATTATTTTAATATTATTATTTTGTAAAAATTTACAAATTGAACTCCCTGTATCTTTTTAATATATTTGGTTGTTTGTTAGAGGTTGTGAGTTCGAGTCACCTCAAGAGCAAGATGGAGAATTCTTGGAGGGAGAGAGCCGAGGGTCTATCAGAAACAGCCTCTCTACCTCAGGGTAGGGGTAAGGTCTGCGTACACACTACCATCCGTAGACCCCACTAGTGAGATTATACTAGGTTCGTTGTTTGTCGTTGGTTGTTTGTTAGAAAATATTAGTTTAATATTGCCACATGTACCTTTTTTCTAAGAGCCATAAGGAAAATCTATCATTCTCAAACCTCAAAAGGCCAAGAGATTATATTTTTAAATTTGTATTATTTGCCAAATCTTTGATCAATCGTGGTAAGTAATTTTTTTTCTTACTTTTTTATTTTTGATATTAGATACAAAATAATAGTAACAATTTTTATAAGATATTCCACATAATTTTAAGGATTTCTATGATGCATAATTTCTTCTTTTATTGAACTAGATAAAGTGGAATTAACATTCTATCAATTTTAGGAACTCACTTTTTTTTTTATCTCAAACACTTTGTTTAATGCTATTTATTTTAATTTTTTAAGACGATATATTTATTGATATAAAAAATACGCGCAAAGCGCGTACGCTAATACTAGTGGTCTTAATAAAACAAACGACATTGCTTTATATCAGTTAAAGTAAAAGAAAGAAATGTATGTTCGAAGAATTTGCAAGTTAGATGGAAAAAGTTCTTTCGCTGAATTTCGTTATCAGTAAAATTGCATATAAAATAACCCATCGGTCCTCTTTCACCGGTACGTTCATTGTCTGCTAAAAGTAACAAAAAAAGGAAATTTGCTTCTTGCATTGGTTAACATTCTAAATAGCCGCCAATTCAACCGCTTAAACTAAAAATATTCGACGGTTATATANGTGTGTGCACGCGCGCATATAATTCTGTATAATCAATATATAATCAATGTATAATGTCTGAAAAAAGTAAATAATAAATTCGACCGACTATTATGTAAAGGTCCCTAAACATTTCTCCTTAATACCAATATACCAGAGTATAGACTAAATAGCTGTCCACCTAATCACTTAAACTAAATATTATCGGTAGAGGTATAATATAAACATAAACATGTATAGTAGTGTATAATCAATGCATAATCTATGTACATGACTAGTAAAAGTGAAGAGTGAATATGACCGGCTATTTGTGTAAAGATATCTCAAAGAAACAAAGCCTATGATGATGATTTTGCAGTGAGAAGCCCATGATTTTCCTGGTAGCCCAATCTGAGGAATGCAAGTGTAGGCTTAAGGCCTGCCCATTTATTAATGGGTTCCAAACCCGCGACATTGATGGTTTCTATATCACAAATCAACCTTTTTAGGTGGGCTTTTCTAGTTATATTCTAAAAATCTAAAAATATGCGGTCTTGCGGATACGATAAAAAAAGCACTAAATCATTCCCACTAAAGTTGGTCTCATTAAAGTGTGATTGGCTGAGAAAGGATGACGATTCTTTATGCTAAAGCTGGTCTCACTACTTGCTTGTTTTATATATGTCCAAAAAGATTAGAAATCAACTTTTTGGATATATCAAATGTTTGTATTTAACATAAAAATAACAAAAGTGGGTGGAACTCATCATGATAACTCCTAATAAACAAATAGAAGTTCATAATTCTTATGCATAAAATTTCATAATTTCTTAACAGAGAAAGTGGAACTCATAATTACTCTCTTAACAAATATTGAACCTATAGAAGTCCACCTTCTACCTCCTTGAACCATGCATCAACTTCCTTCTCTCCTTTTACCCTACAAAGGATTTAGAAAGTTACAACTTACAAAATAAAAGCATTCTAATAAAGGCTGACGAAATTTTTTAAACAACATATATGAATTTTAAGAGATCAGTAAGTTCTAAAATATACTTTTAACTTAATTTATCTATGCATTATGTCGAACTCGGGAATTCATAATTGAATCCACTATTTCTCTTATACCGTATTCTCATAAATTCACTAATAGAAATGTAATATGGGCAGAGCATGAAGAAAATATATATTACCAACAGCCTTGCGACAAAAGGAGAGAAGAACGATGAAAACAGCAACACCAGCTAATACTCCTACGATTATTGCAACTGTCTTTCCTACGTCGTCGTCGTTGGATGAATCTGATAACAAATGGATACGCAGTAATTAAAGCAACGGAAGCTCTTAGATTAAATATAAAGAAATTTGCATATAGACTTAGAATGTTTGGCATTTTAAGTACTGTTCGGTGGAACTATGATGATGTTCTTTTCTGATATGTTTAGCGAACGATGAAAATACAACTACAAAAAAAAAAGAAAAAAAAAAGAAGAAATAAGTTCAGTTTAAGCTACTTGAACTAACTAAATTCAAACTGTAAAGTTAGTCAAAATAAAAGAAAATTTATTTTCTAGCCAGTTTATCCACTTTACTATATGATATTTTTATTAATTGACGAGCCAATGTAATTAAATATTCTGAGCTCATCATTTTTTTAAATCTTTTTTATCGAAAGAAGTTAAGTATAATTACCAAATAACTCAGGCTTTATGTTTTTAAAGTTGATATAATTAAAGATTGTCCTCAAATTTGGATCAATAGACTCTAGGTTTCATCTTGATACCCCTTCAAGCGAATAAAGTGTTAAGAAAAATTTAATATCACTTAGTGACTGCTAAAGCACAGAGCTCGCCACTGAAACATTGAATGTGTTTCTTTCTCAAAACTTAGAAGATATAATGAAGCATTTCGAATGGTCTATATATATATATATATATATATATATATATATATATATATAGAATTTTGACCTAAGTTAATGATTGCACTAGCCACTAGTGCTACTTGAGGCCGCCCTTTGAAAATGAAAAAGGTGCTTTATGTACGATCGGAACATGTGGAAGGTGAAGCTTAAAAGAAAAGAGAATAAGAATTTCAAAACAAAAAGAACATCGCTATGGCCATATTCCCTAGAGATATCAAATAAAGTGAATTATTCCTTACAACTTTATGCTTTAGGAAAATAATTCTTTTTATAATTTGTTTTCAGAGAATGGGACTGTTTTTTTGCTTTTCTTTGCATTTTTATCCTGTCTTAAGAAAGGAAGAATGCTTGAACTCTTACTGATTCGGAAAATTTTATAAACTCGAAATGAAAACAATTACAAAAAGAATGTAGTTTAAAAAAAAGGGTTCAAGGAAATTCACATAAAATTACTAATAAATGTAAGGAGTTGTGACACTAATATCAAATTTATGCAATAGGATAATTTCCTTATTCATATGGAAAGATTTAGTATATGAATGCGCCTAAACTTTTTTGTATATAACTACCATTATGAGTCTTACATTTTAAAAACTACTATACTATCATGCATGAGTTTCAAGTTTAATTTTCATCTTGAATGAAGCAGCTAAAAACTCGTACACTATCAACGTATTTATTCAAGAAAATAAAAGAAAAAATATGATTAATTATATAATGATAGCACAAAGAATTTTTACAATGTATTTTAATCCATTCTACTAGGTAATTTACCTTGTTTTGAAGTTACTAATTCCATTTTTCATATATAGTTAAATTACCTGTAATTTTCTTTTGGATAACATGATAGCGTAACATGTTCTTACCAGAGGAATGATAGTAGCCAGAAGCCCAGTATCTAGCGTAACATTGACCGAAGAAAACATCAGCAGCAGCAGCTGATCCACACATAGTTTTCAACTTCATAACAGCATCAGAAACACATGAATTACAATCTTCTACGCTCAAATCACCCACACACTGAGCAAACCCTTCAATTGAACCTGAACTGCTAACCTTAAAACCCGTCGCGCCTTCCAAATCAGCAAGAACATCATCTCTACGCCTAAGGAAATCACCATCTCCAGCTCCGAGTTGATTTTTACTGCATTTGTTGTACCTTAAACTTGTGTCTGGTTTTCCAAGAAAATCTGTGTTTTCATATCTCAAATAACAACCATCTAACTGCAAACTAGCCCCAAAAGTGTAGGAACAAACTAAGTTTATTTGGCTTACTGCACTTGCCGCACATGTTGCGCAGTCTTTTAATTGTAAATCACCCCTACATTGATATAAACCGTAAATAGAACCTTCTTGAGGGGCTGAACTGTCATTTCCAAGAGCATAGCTGTTGTAAAGAACTTGAGAAGAAGAGCTAACTATGGAGAAGAGTAGAGAGTTTAAGTTGGAAGCAAAAGGAGAGTTGGGTTGGTATTTATCTTGAGAACAACCAGCATAGATAAAAACGTGAGCTTTAACTAGGTGATTATTAATGGGGTTTGTAACAAGAAGTAGGAAAGTGTAGAAGAAGTAGAGGAAGAGAATTGAAAGAGAAGAAGAGAGTTTGAAAGGTAAAAAGTGTTGTGGAAGGTTTGTGATCAGCATTTCTGTTTTTTTCCTTTCTAGAATTTTATGAAATTTGTCTTCCTTATAGTTTGTTTTTGGTTTGGTATATGGTTTAATTTAAATTTGGGACTTCGAGGAAAAAGAAAGTGGTGGTAGCTTTTCATTTTTTATTCTGTGTCCATTATTTCTTTGGTATCTTTGGTTCTCTTAGTTGTTTGTAAGCCAATCCTAGCCACTGCCAAGTTTTTAAGATATGCTATTTTAGTGTTGAACAAAGAACTTTAATTTGACTACAGGTATAGCAAGTGGATACTAGATAATTCTGGTTTATGTTGTTCCTTCATATAAATTCTATAGGAACTGGAATGTAATATATACCTTATCTTATTACTTATCATAGAGCTTGCTCTGTGAGGCCAGGCCAACCATAGACGGATTCTTTATTTGTGCTTTTGAAAATTGATTGTTTGGTGCTGGGAGAAATTGTCATTTACTGATTGTGATTATTTAAAAGAAATTTTAAAAAACCACTATTGTTTTGTGTTTATTAACTTTCTATAGCTACTATATGCATAATTATTTCTTATGCCTACTATTAAGTTATTGCGCGACAATATTCGTTGTATTCTCGCTACTGTATTCATGAATACAATAGCGGAATTCGCCTAAAAAATATAGGGGAGTCTAGATGTGCGTTGTATTCGCACTACTGTATTCATGAATACAATAACGGAATTCGCCTAAAAAATAGGGAGTCCAGCTGTGCGACTGTATTCATTGTATTCACGCTATTGTATTCATGACTACAGTCTACATTATCGGAATTTGCCTAAAAGAATAGTGGAGTCCAGTTATGCGACTGTATTCGCTATAGTCGTGCTAGTGTATTTATGAATACAGTAGCGGAATTCGCCTAAGAAATATGGGAGTCTAGCTGTGCGACTGTATTCGCTGTATTCGCGCTATTGTTTAAATTTTCCTAAAAGAACAGGGGAATCCAGATGTTTAATAACGGAAAGAGGATCAATTAGCGTGTATCACTCCTAATCTAACTCAACAAAATCAACTATACATAAATTTCGCTGCTACTATGGTGTATTCCATGTATTCACGCAACTGTATTTATAAATACAGTGAGGTAATCCGCCTAAAAAAATAGGGATTACAGTTGTTTATCAATTCACCATATTCAATTCGACTGTGTTCAAACAGAAAAAAATCACAAAACATGGTGATATTCGGTTGTATTAAAAAAAAAAATACAGACCTTTGGAATACATAAATATAGGCGAAAAAATAATATATTTATATAAAAATATAATATGTTTGAGTGTATTGTACATAATACAATGTCTTTATATCATTGTATGTGACTAAATAGTAAAAAAGAGAAGAAAGTTCGCCGGAGATGGTATTTTTCGGCCAAGCAAAATATTGTATACATTGTAACTAAAACTAAAAATGGAGACGAATAATAATCTAGCCCTCAAATATTCTCCGGCATAGCCATGGCAAGATTTGTTCGCCTAAGAGGATGAGCCAATAGTGGATGATGACGCCGACGACGATTCTGACGACGACCACAATGATGACGCCGACGATTCTGCTGATTTGAGGGAGAAGATAGATGATAAGCTATGTGCCTTTTTATATTTTGATGATCTGACAAACTTTATGATAAGAACTAGATCGGAAACCTGTTACACATCCTCAAAGTGCCAACGAACAACAAATCTCAAGTCAGGCACAAGTTCCAACAACTAGAGTCAAAAGAGACGATAGAGGGAACAGATGGACATCAGTTCCCCTCCTGACTGTACCAGTCAACTCCTCACAGCTGTAAAGTTGCTGCAACTGCTCCTCTGCACACACGCAATAGTGCAAACAATGCAGTAGTCACTTTATGGGAAATGCTTTGTACCAGATATTTGCTTGCATCATCCAAGTGACATCACTTGAATACTATTAACATGAAGCAAAGGAAAGATATACACTTGCACATCCGAAAAATCAACAAGTCTTCTCTCAAGTGTGTTTCCATCTTGCAAGTGACTTCAAGGCTTCAAGAAAAAAGAACAACATAACAAAGGACCAGTTTCCAGCACTAATTTACTATATGTCCTTAGTTGTGTTGTAACTTTGTTAGAGTGATCTACTTGTAATTCCTACTTAGCTTAGCTAGAAGTATTGTATAGGAAACCATTTGTAAAATCATAAAACCGTGTGTTTGTGTCTTGACTAGAGTTAGTTGAGTTGTGAGTTTTGTAATAGAGTTATTACAAAGAGGCTTGTAATAGAGTTATTACAAGTGAGTGAGGGATTACGAGTTTAATTCCTAGGTTACAATAGTTTGTAATCTTAAGTTTACTCAATAGTAAAGTTGAAATCCTACGAGTGTAGGTCGTGAATTTTAATCCCGTGAGTTAGGAGTTTTCCACGTAAAACTCGGCTTTGTCATTTACTTATCTCTTATTGTGTGTGTTCTGTGGGAACTGATAGAGAATCAGGTTCTCTATATAGTTTGATGGACCCTAAGTTTCCATCAATTCGTATCAGAGCAGGTTCTTTCTACCAGGCTAACACCTAGAAAGGATCCAAATGGCTGCTCCACCAAACTTTGAAGAAGGTCAATCAATCTACAGACCACCAAGATTCAATGGACAATACTACAGATGGTGGAATACAAGGATGTATGATTTTATCATGGTTGAAGATTCAGAGCTCTAGGATGTTATCTGCGATGGACCTTTTGTGCCCATGAAAACTGTTGGCAAGCCAGCAGTAATAGTTCCAAAGTCAAGAAAGGAGTACAATGATGCTGACCGAAAAGCCATAGAGAAGAACTTCCGAGCAAAATGATTCTTGTCTGTGGTATTGGACCAGACGAGTATAACAGAATCTCTGCTTGTCAATCTGCCAAGGAGATCTGGGAAGCTCTTCAAACAGCACATGAAGGAACAACTCAAGTCAAGCAGTCAAAGATCGACATGCTCACCACTGAGTGTGAACTCTTCAGGATGAAAGATGATGAGTCCATTCAAGACATGCACACTCGATTCACCTCCATCATCAACGAGCTCCACTCTCTAGGAGAGATCATTCCAAGGAACAAAATTGTCAGGAAAATACTCAGTGTATTACCTGGTTCATGGGAAAGCAAAGTAAATGCTATCACGGAGGCAAAGGTTCTACAAAAGTTGACCATTGATGAACTCATCGGAAATATGAAGACCTATGAAATGATGAAAAAGAAGGACCATGAAAGAAAAGAACCCAAGAAGGAGAAGAACATGATTCTCAAGGCTAACAACAATAACTCAAGTGGCGAGGATGCTAACATAGCTTATCTGACAAAACGATTTCAGAAAATGGTGCACAAAAATGGAGGCATTCCAAAAAGGGGTAGCTCCAGTAAACCAAGAGGTTATGACTTGTGTCATAAATGTGGGAAGCCAGGGCACTTCATCAAGAACTGTCCTCTCCTCAAGCAAGACATGTACAAGCACAACACAAACAAAGCAGTTAAGAGGAAGTGAGGCACACATTAAGCTTGAAAATGAACTCAAATCTATGAAATCTAGTATGTGTACTGAACTTGAAAGAAACAGACAACTTCAAGAAGATCTAGGCAGAGTTAAAAATGACCTAAAAAAACCTCTAAAGTGGACCTGGTCCTTTGATACAATCACTGCCATGTAGACAAGCAATGGTGGGAATTAAAGAAGCAGGTTCTTGTTTATGGAAGTGGAAAATATTGAGGGAGAAAAGTTTGGTGAAAATTGTCTAAGAAGTCTGCAAAGAAAGAGAAAAGTGTGAGAAAGTTTGTGAAAAGAAAGGCTGGTGACAACGAGGAACCTGGTTCCTCCAAGAAGGTCAAAGTAAGTGTGTCTAAGGATGAAGGCAGAGAAAATCTAAGAAAGCAGAGAGTGTTGTGGGGCAGAACATTTGCTCCTGACATTCTTGACATGACAGAGATGAGTCAACTGGTTGATATTTGTGAGTTTCAAAAGTGAACACACTTGTTCACCAATGAGATCCCCAAGGTATATGAGGAATAGGTGTGTAGCTTCTACGCAGACATGTTCACAGTGGAAGATAATAATATCTGCTTGAAGGTCAACGGATTTGTGATTGACGAGGCTATGTTGAGGAACATGTTGTGAGTACCTACTGAAGGGATCTCATCCATTGAGGGGACTTGTTCTCCCAATTTTTGAAGTGCCATTCTGAAGGATGATGCTGTGTAGCAAGGGGAACGGGTGCACAAGAAGGCCCTCCTTCCAGTGTATCAGCTTCTGTTTGAGATGGTGAATAAGGTCTTACTTCCACATGCGGAAAGGCGTTCCATTACTTAAAAAACAGACCTATTCCTCACGGAAGCTGTAACGACCCGGCCGGTCGTTTTGCTTTCTAGAACCTTGTTCCCATAAACAAGACTCCCTGTATGTGCTTTTACTATTTTATAACTTGCGGGATGGTTATTTCGGGATTTGGAAGGGTTCGGGTTGAAATAGGAACACTTGGTTCCTTAAGGTTGGCTAAAAAGACTAAGTTTGACTTCGTCAACGTTTTGACTAAACAACCTCAAAATATATATTTGACGATTCCAAGAGGTTTGTATGATGATTTCAGACTTGGGCGTATATTCAGATCAGGTTTTGGATGACCCGGGAGCGTTTCAGCGCTTAATAGTGAAAGTTTGTTCTTTGAAGGTTTTGAAGTTCTTTAAATTTGGTTTGGCATTGGTTTTTCTGATATCGAGGTCCAAATGGGATTTCGAGATCGGAAATAGTTCCGTATGGTGATTTAAAACTTGCACGCAAAATTTGGTGTTATTCAGAGTAGTCTACGCATGATTCGGCGCGTTCGGAGCAATTTGGAAACTTGGAGTTCATTTTTTGATTCAATTTGGTTTTGGGGTGTGATTCTTGGTTTTCTTGTTGTTTTACGCATTTTGAGAGTTCGAACAAGTCCGTATTATGTTTATAGACTTGTTGGTATAGTTAGACAGGGTCTCGAGGGGCTCGAGTGTGTTTCGGACCGCCCAGAGTTAAGTGGAAAGCACCAGATTTTCTGTTCTGGTTTCCTTCTTCATGAACGCGGACAGACCCTCGCGTTCGCAGTGAAGGATTTGGGGACTGGAGGTTTTTCCTCTTCGC